TCCAGTTTTTCAGCATTTCCGTTCAACTTTCTCCGGCGCTTTTTCTTCAGCCTCATCTGTGCGGAAGTGCATATAGCTGGTTAACTGTTGTAATTTTCACGTAGTTTTCCTATAAATAATTTCTCCGTGAGCATATATGGGCTGGCCCGGCCACTGGCTGACTTTACACGCTGCTACAATTATGCTATTAATTATGGCCCTGGGGTCGGGTCGACTGGACGACCTCAAACTGTCGCTCGCTGTTGAGGTTTTGACTTTTTGCTCGCTCGGGATATCCCTTTACATGAGTCGGGCAGAGCCAGCCAGCGGCTGTCCAGTTACGGGTTTTCCCCTCTCTCTGTCTCTCTCTCTGTCTCTGTTATCTGCGCAGTGCATCGCACTGCAGTCCTTTTCATGTCCTGGCTGAGCGAGAGTGTGAGATATTATCAGTTTTGTGCTCCAGTTTCCAAAGAGCAACTGAAAAATTGTCGCTTGACCCATTAGCTCTAGCTCTGCATGTGTGTGTCCTTTGTCCTTTGGGACTTGATTTCTTGCTTAGTTTTGTTGTTGTTGTTGTTGCTGTTGAACGTTTCCTGTAATTTCTCACCGGCAATTGCCAGCAACTAGACAGTTGAGAGCCTGCCTCACTTGCTGCTCACTAATTAGCGCCTGGGGACAGGCCTATCAAAAGCCAGAACACCCGCCTCGGACTGCTGTTGCCCTAGTGTTTTCTGGTTTTTTGTTGTTTTTCTTCCTGTTTCCCACGCAAAGTCGAATCTGAAAACCCGAAACCCGAAAAAGAACAAACCCAAACCCAAACTCGAAGCCAAACAGACGCCTGTGATTAAGTGCGGCAAGGCAGCTCATATATCTTACGCTTTGCAACAACTGTCAACGCCCCACGGCCCCAGTGGCCCCAACTACCTGATTCACCTCTCAGCAGCGCCTCCCTTTTGTTTTTTTTTTTTTTGTTTTTGTTGTAATTGTTTTTCTTTTGCATTTTCCGCTCAGCGGCTAAACTTTTAGAACGCACGCCGCGCATGCCAAATGAGGCAAGTTTAGAGCTGGCAGCGGACGGGTGGAGGGGGTGGGGAAGGTTCGTGAGGGCGGAGAAGGAGGAGGAGGAGGAGCGCGCGGTGTTTGCCTCGCTTGGGTGGGTGACATAAATTAGCATTTAATGAACACTTTTGCCGTGGTGTGTGGAAAAAGAAATGGAGGAAGTATTAGTGCTAGTAATAGCTTTTAATTAAGTGGGCGTGCCAAGCGGCCCACTCACACGCAGCAGCAGCAGAAGCAGCAGCAGCGACACCTCGAACAATGGCTAGATGAACAGTTAGACGCAGGCGCAACCGCAACAGGAAGTTCTACCTCTGATTCTTCTACAACTTTTTTGTGGGTGGCACAGATTCTGTTATATATATATATACATATATATATGTATGTGTGTATATAGAATTTCATTCAAACCCAACGATATCATCTGAACCCTAAACGAGCAACAACAATGGGCACAATGCGAGCTACAGTTGCTGCTGCCCTTCGCCTCCCCTTGGGACGCTCAAAATTTGCGACTTTTATTGCTTGTTAGGGCAACAATTTTTATTATGGTTTGTCCTGCTTTCGATATTTATACATACATAACATATATTTATATATATGTATGTTTTTATTTCAATTTCGTTTTGCGATTTCGCTTCAGCAAATCATGTGAAAAATTGTCATAAAAATGCAATAAAAATTACTTGAACTCGCTCGCTCGCTGCCAGATTCGATCTGATGAAAATATGTTGGCACCAAAAATACCAAGAGTAAATATATATAGTATATATATATACTTATGTAAGTTATATATATATATATATATATATATATATATGTGTGTGTGCTAACAAAGTGGGGAAATGTGAAACGCATTTCAATTGTTCAATACATTTCTCATAGTTTTTATTTATTTATGTTTTGCAGTTTATCAAAATGTCAACGAGTTGAACTTTAAAAAAAATCTATAAATATTATATATATGTAGATGCTTTGAAATGGTTATAAATGCAGTTATTGTATGTAATCTTGGTGCTGAAAAGTTGGAGTTAGGCATTGCTAGAGGAAAGTATTGGGAGACTAAATCTTAGCCTGAGTATGAGTGAAATAAAATTGTTAAATCATAAATTGCGATTTATTATATAGCAAATTATATATAATTATATTTTACAATATTTTTCAGAGCACTCTTTACACTCTTTATTATCTTAGCTCACTCCTGAATTAGAAATATTTTATAAATATATTCAGCTAAATCAACAGCTCATTTTGAATGCAGCCATAAACTCAATAATTATGACAGTTATATATTTATCTTAACATATTTATTAGCTGTGTATATCAGTCGCTTATTTACCTTCACCCATGTCTCTCTCTCTCTCTCTCTCTCTTCCCCTCTCTCTGCCTAAGACAGACAGCTGTACTGTCACGCCCATAGCTAGTTCGACTCCGCTCATATTACCCAAGACCAATGGGTTAGCTATGCTACTTTAAAACTATCAACACTCGTGAGTTGTTGTTGTTGTTGCTGTTGCTGCTGATCGTTGCTGTTTGATGCATATGGCTGCGAGTCCTGTCGTTTGTTGTCCTGTTTCCAATATCCTTTTCCCATAACTGTCAACGTTTTTATGTGTGCTCCACTTTGTGTGTAGGTGTTAATTTATGGCTAGCAGGAGCAGCAGGAGTAGGAGCAGCAACAGCAGCAGCAGCAGCAGTCACAAAACTTGCCAGGACTCTAGAGCACTCGCAGAGCAGCAACAAATTGTTTAAAAATAACAACAACAACGGCAATTTTTGTTGTTTTTATTGTCTTTTGGAAAATGTGGAGCAACAGCAGCTGCACACACGCAATAGCAACAGCAACAACAAAGTAAACAACAACAGGAACAGAAGAGCCAACAACATCCTCGACATGGTTGGCTCCTTTGGCCAGCTGAGGCCCCCACAGAGTACCTAACCTACCCATCTCTCTCACTCACTGTATCTCTTCCACTCTCCCACTCTCTCAGTGTATCTCCTGCATGTCTCCTGTGTACGGCCAGAGCGAGGCGTTTGTTGTTTCTGTGTCAACAAAGTCGCGGCTGCTGCGACGAAACTTTGGGCAAAACCAAAAAAAATAAATGAAAAATAAAACGAAAATATGAACTCTCCACACACAAACAAGTGACAAAAAAGAAAGAAACAAAAGAAAGAAAACAGCAAAAATAAAGAAATACTGAAAATACATAATGTGAAATACGAAAATGAAATAAGAAATATGAATTATGAAATATTCAAGTGCCACTCATAATTTTTTTGTTCTTTCCGTTTTTTTTTTTTTTTTCGTATTCTCTGATGCGTGAGCGCAACTCTTAAGTACCCGAGAAATGTGCCACTTAACTCCACAAAAAAACAACCCAAATTTATCCTTGAACAGCTCTCGACTGTCGGAGAATCACAGCTGAAGCAGCTAGATTAAGAATCCTCGAGCTTTGATTGCAATTGTAAATGAGGCTTTTCATCTGAGGTTTCTCACATGATCGAGAGTGTTGGGCCAAGAATTAGCGTTGCATAATATTTACTATTCTATTATATGGTGTATATGTATATGTGTGTATAGATATATTTACATACATATATAGAATTATTGTCTAAAAGAATTCTTATTCCTTAATAGCTTTGTTTGTGGTTTGCGTATATTATATTTCCCAAATTTATATAAAATACAATTTTTTAACTAAGAAGATAATATTATGTATTAATTTTTTTTATTTGTATTATATTTTATTTTTTATTTATTTTATAAAAAAAATTGATTTATTCAACAATTAATTTTTTTATTTTTACAATAGTTTTGTTTCATCTATCTTAAGTTATAATTTACTATAAAAAAAGATGATAATTAAAATTAAAATTTAAAGAATTTAATTTACCATCTTGTAATTAATATGTCTAATTAAAATATTTCATTTTAATTTTATAAAATATAAGTAAATTTGTAAATATTATTTTCATTAATCTTTGTTAATTTTTATTTAAGTAAAGAAAATTAAATATATGTATATTAAAATTTTTTCTGCTCATATACATTTGCATTTTTTGAATATACTCTTAAAATTTCAGTTTTCTCTCCTGGACTTGATATTTTTCCTTATCATGTGCTTCCATTTTCTTGAAATATTTTTGACAATTTTCAAAGTAATAAAAATAATGCATATATGTATGCCTTTTTAGCTATTCCCTTATATATGTAGTAGTTATATTCCGTATGCGTTCATACCCTAAGGGCTATTTTTATGCCTTTTCCACTTTTTAATAGCTTTTTCCTTTATTACATGATATTTTCCTTTTGGTTTGACAAACCTTCTGCAATCTTTGATTTTACTGCTTTTCAACCTCGCTTTCCTCTTCTCTTCCCTCTCTTGGACTGCTTTATTCTCTTCCTTTATTCTCTTTTTCTATGCGTTTCTTAAACGTTCCGCTTGACTTTCTATGGCTGTCAATCTGGCGTTCTTTTATTTTCTCTCTATTGAATCTTTCTTCGCTGCCCACTCGAGTTCGCGTTGCAGTTGAACCCTTTTGCCTCTTCGACGGTGATCACTGGGTTCTACTCCTCTTGCCAGCGGCTGCTCTAGAGCCCACTTACCACTAGCGAAACCCCTGAAAATGCCAATCGAGCCGAGGGGGAAGGCAGCGGGAGGGGAGGCGAGCGGCTTTGCCCTCCACTTGAGTTTGCGCAGTCAATTGAAGATTGTTGGACTTGTACTTGGCGCTGAAGCATGAACAGATTGCATGTTGCGGCTGGGCCTCGCTTTGGCCAGGTCGTACTCCGCTGGTCTACCTCAAGCTCAGCTGTGACATTGGCAAAGCCAAGTGCTTGGCTTGGCTGGGCACACGCTAGCCAAGATTGTGATTAGCTTATTGCGTGCACTATTATTAAACAGTTTCCTGTTTGCGTTTTGTCTCTTACTCATCTCTCTCTGTCTCTGTCTCTCTCTTTGCAGACGCCAGCATGCCTTTATGGCGGGCACACAGAAGCAACCGTCCGGCTCGGCCGGCACCGGCGGCGGCAGCGTTACTCACAGTCCGGAACGCTTGCGCGGCGCCACACAGGATCTCTTTGAGCTGTTGGAGCGGGTGCAGTGCTCCCGTCTGGACGACCAGCGTTGCGTCTTACCAGCGTACTTCTCACAGGTGAGTGTGAAGGCGACAGAGCATTAGCTCTCCCTCCCTCTCTTTCTCTCTCTCTCTCTCTCGCTGTCTGCCTTTTGGTTTACTGACCTCTCACAAGTGGCTGTGCCTTGCGCCTGGCCATATGGCACGGCTGCTCCACTAATCTAACTAAGAACCCGGCCCCATTTGACCCATAAAAATCCCAGTTGCATTTAACATTTTTATTGCTACATGTGTGTGTGTGTGCGTGTGTCATAAAACTGGCAAATGGCACAACAACAACAACAACAATAATTGCCAAACAGCCAACAAAGTGGGCCCAACTACTTCAGCTGCGCTGAACCGCACCTTGTTCACTGTTTTTGTTCCCTGTATAATTTGACATAATCTGCGCGTCTGTGTTGTTGACTGAAGTTTTATTGGCCATCCATCCAAGCAGCTATACGGCATGCTAGGGATTACGCTCCACGTTTTCGTTTTTTGGCCAATTCTTTCAATCACTTTTTACTTTATTTATTACACACTTTCAGCTGACAGCAGCAGCTGCTAGGTGTGGTCTCTGGTCTCTCTATATGTTTTTTTTCTTTTAATTCAGCAAAAATTCAAAATTCGTTGCGCCTCTTAAAATTTGACATTCGGAGTCAAAGGCGAAGGCGAAGGCGCATTTGATTGGCTGCCGTTTCGGAATAGTTACACACAGCGGCCGCTAGAGGTATGCTGTATGCTGCCGCTAGATGTCGCTGCACAGAAGCGCCAGCTAGCGTAAATGTAAATTTAACTGTTCCCAGGGTACAGTTTAGTACGCAGCGTTGCCGCTAGAGTGCGCCCTGCAGTAGCGCCACCTGACGTTGAATGTGGAAAATAATCGCATGCTCAGTAGCGCTTTATTTTAACGCAAGATGTCGCGTTGGTGCCCAAACGGCGCCAGATTCAAATTTAAACTTCAAATAAATATTAGTGAATAACGAATACTTCAAAAACTAAGTATAAGAAAAAGTAAAAATTAAATTAAATGAGCTTAAACTTAAAATAAATAAAATAACCAATTAATTTTAAATAAATAGGTTTTTTAAACTTCTTAATAAAGAAGAGATTTTATAAAGTTAGCTTGCACTTCTTTCTTTCTATAAGACATAGACTTTATTGGGCTTTAATAAAGTTTTTTATTTAAGAGAATAACATTAAAGTGTTTATTTACTCAATTTGTATTCACTTTCCATTCTGCCCAACATTGTCCCTTGTCAACTGCTTTTGTTGGCGTTTGCCAACTCATTTGCCCACTAATTTAGCAAAATGCACTAAATAATTAAACCGCTGTTTACACTGCTCAACACAGCACAACGAACACTTACCATCAGCGAACCCCTTGCTCAACCCAAACCCTACCGCTTTTTAGCATTCCGCTTCATCTCGCCCTTCCTTTAGTTGCTTTCGCATCTTTTCACATTTTAATTTAGTTTCGTAAGAAATGTTGTTGCAAAGTTTTCCATCAAAAGATGCTCAACGGCTGCAGCAGCCGCATGCTGCCCCTTGCCGCCCCCTGTTCGTGCCTTTCATGTGTTTGCACTCGTGTCTGCCACACAATTGCCGCCACCTTAGTGCTCAGGCCAGGCTCTTCCCGAAGACTTTGCCTTTTCAAAAACTTTATGCGGGTCGACGTGCACGCCGTCTGGAAGCTAAGCTAAGCCAGAACTAGGTTGAATTCTGAAGTAGGTCCTTGCAGCAGCAACCCCTAAGCCAACGGCCCTTCCCCCATACCTTTTGTTGCTCACTTTGCCAAACTGTTTGCTCAAGACGCCAAATTGAATTTAGGCTGCAGTTGCAAAGCAATTGACAAGTGACCAGCGCTGCTCAAACTGTGTGTGTCACCTCTCACTCTCTCCATTGCTCTCTATCTCTCTCGCTCTTTGTCCTTTTTGCCTTTCACTATAGCATTTGCCGCATTGTTTGCTGCGCCTTCCTTTCTTCCTCGCACTCACTAGCTCTCTCACTCCCACGTGCAGCCTCCCACCCGTCACGCCCACTTTGCTCTGCATTTCATTACCATTTACTTTGGCCTGCTGCCTAATTAGGGCTACAGCCAGCTAGCGCTTTGCCCAAAAAAACAAAAGTATCTCTACTTTATATGTGCATACGTAGCGCCGAGATACATTTGTATCTTTGTATCTTTGTTTTTGCGCTTGCAGCCGTTAGCCATTGTCTTTGGGCTTGCGTTTGTCCGCAAAGCCGCGAAAATTTATGCCACTGTTTGTTATTCTGCCTGCCTACGCTCACTGCCCCCCTAGTCTCTCCCACTTCCTCTCTCTTCCTCTCTCTTCCTCCCTCTCCTTCTTCCTTCCTGCTTATTAAGAGAGAAATGTATCTTTAAACATTTTATTTTGGTTTTTGCGGCTTGCTTTTTTCTTGCATATTTTTCACGCTGCCGTTGCCATTAGAAGAAGCTGTCCCCTTTGCCTCAGCCTCCCCCCTTGGCCTACCTGTGAGCCTACACCTTTTCTCTAGCTGTTTCAATGAGCCGTTTGCTATTTGTCTGCCAACAGCAGCAGCCCCACACAACTTTTGCTATTATGCACATGGCTGCAGTGTTTATTTGTGGAGGTGCAGTAGAGGGGGCCTAGGTGGGGGACTAGGGGGCTTTGGTTTTCAACTCCCAGGCACAATTGCAACGAACGTTGAAGTTGTTAATTGCCTTGGTCGTCAGCCGCAACGACGCGTCGTCCTCTTCGCAGTTGTAGCTGGTTCTGTCTGTCTCTCTATCAGTCTCTCTGTCAGCGTACTCCCACAGTGCATACACACACACACACACACACACACACACACACACACACACACAAACGAGCATACACTCGCACATGTTCGCTCTTGCTTCTAAGCCACAAAATGTGCGATGTTTATCTCGAGTGCAACCCACACACGTTTCTCCCCCCTCTGTGCAGATGCCAGCGGAATGATATGAAAACCTTCTGCATATGATCTAAGCTTGTTGCTATCTTACACTCTCTCTCTCTCTCTCTCTTGCTTTCTTTCCTGCTCTCTCTCTCTCTCTCTCTCTCGCACATAATCTTGACTTAGCTGTCAACTATTCTTTTCTTCCGTCTCTCACCCTCTTCCTCACTTCAGTTTTCTAATTTATAATTATTTTCCGCTTGTTGCATGTCTGGCTACATGCACCTCTCTCTCTCTCTACCCCTCTCTCTCCCACTTCCGCTCTCTAGCTTCTTCTGGCCAGCGTTCGGAACTTCGTTCATTTGTGACTTTTTAATTTGACTCCCTTTTGCCCCCACTCCTTCCTCTCTCTCTCTCTCCCTTTTCCTTCCATCCTCCCCCACACCTTTTTTGCACCTGTATAAAACAATGCAACTTTAAAACTATTTTTCTTCTCTTTTGGCTTCTTTGTCTTCCTCTTCTTGTGTCTAACAACTGCAAGTCTTTATTTTTTATTTTCGTGGCTTTGACGTTGATGTTGTCTTCCCCTTCAGGGCCAACAGCAAAACGCCTCTGCACCCTGCCACAGTCCCGTCCCCTGCCCTTGTCTCACCCACATTTCTGCTTCCCTTTTGCTCATTTTGGGGTTTTCCTCTGTTGTTTACCATGTTGCTGCTTCGCTGGTTTCGTTGTTGATTGCCGCCTGTCTGCCGGAGACATAAAAAGCAGCAACAACAACAACAA